ACTGCTTGTGAAGCAAGCTTTTATCAGAGACTGGAGACTTTCCCTTTCCTTTCTATGCCAAATACCAATTTACAACACTTCTAATTCTGTGTGTGTGTGTGTGTGTGTGTGTGTGTGTGTGTGTGTGTGTCTGTGTGTGTTTTAGCAGCAAGGCCTAATTTTGAAACAGTCAAAAGTGTTGCAGTATTTGACATTAATATGTAGATTTTATTTTAAGAGCCTGTGTAAGTGGGTTGAAGACCATTAACAAACACAACCACTTACTAATTTTTGATATGGTTAGGTAGGACGCAAGTATTATGGTTCCATTTTTTCCGAAAATCATCAAAAATCAGTTTTAGATGAAGCTATGCTAATAACATCATGTGCAAAAATAATAACACTTGTTTATGACTTACACATTAAAATATATTACCTAATACATGCACAGGTAATATGTACTACCACACCTGTCAGAGTAAATACATTAACAGCACAGTAGTATAAATAGCATGTGAACAGGCATGTAACAGGACATACAACATGAGCATGTGAGAACAGTTGTACAGAGTCAAGCTTACCTGTAGAGTGTAATTTGCCTTTTCACTGATTAACTGGGTGATAAACTTTGCAGTGTGCTGGAAATGGACTTTTTCTGGAGGGGGGTGGGAGACAAATATACATTGTCACTGTAGTTTTAAAATTATTAAATTACATGACATTGATGCAAGTATGATCAGCGTAATTTCAATTTTTGACAGAATGAAAAAGATTTAACTGGGAAAGCTGTTATATACAGGAATCTCATACCATCTGCTGTTGGATGAATAATCAGATATTTTTTATCGATGAGCTGAGATGCACGATTTGTTAAGTTTGCCATCTGTGGGGGGAAAAATAACACAAATCAATTAACCCATCAGTTAAAAACTGACTTTAGGTTGTGCACTTAAAGGATGTATAGTTAAGAAGCAGTTAACTATCAATTAGTTACACATAATTATACACACAACCACAGGAAGAATCCAAAGGAACAGTGATACATTAGAAACGTACTGCGTAAACCCTCATGTCTGTCTTCGGTAATCCCAAATATCTCTCTGAAAACGCAGACGCTGAAAGAGAGGAATGAGAGAGTGTAGCTCTTTGTTTTCCTCACAAATTCAGACACATCAGAGGAGGAATTTAACCACACACACACACACACCACACATATACGCATGCACGCACACATGCACACACACACACATACACACACATATGCACACACACGCACACACACACACACACACACACACACACACACACACACACACACACACACACACATATGCACACACACAGTGGTGCAGTGCAAGAATCGCCAGCTATTTTTCATGTTCACTACTGTGGGAGAACTGGTTGTGCCGTAATTGTAAGATCTCTCTCACATATCCTAAACTACACATGAACAGAGCACCACGCTGCAGTCAAAAGCCACAAGCAGCTTTGAAACAAAGGTAAAATCTGTTTCAAACACACTGAGAGCACAGAAACGCTAAAGACCATGAAAGAGAGAAAACACACAGCCTGTCTTTCCTGACTCATTCTGCCATCATTTCATGTTGCTTTACTGATTCCTGCTCAAATGTCACATGACTAACAGCCCCAGTATAGCTCTCATGTTGATCAGCCTGAACCGCGTGTCTTTAATTAACATCAGATTCTCACTCCACAGCGTTGGTGCCGACCAACTGTCGCTGCATCATGTGGCTATCAGATACGTCAGAGACGCTTTTCGGGGGGCCGTGACTCACGTGTGCGTGAAGCAGTCGCAGAGACGCATGAGACGCCCCAGAGATGCATGAGACGCCCCAGAGACGCATGAGACGCCCCCAGAGATGCATGAGACGCCCCAGAGATGCATGAGACGCCCCAGAGACGCATGAGACGCCCCAGAATGCACACAGCATCACAGCACCTGCGACGAGTTCAGTTTTTCCATTTTTTAAACTTTTGTTTTCGACGGACGTGGGTTTTTTCTGCTCCTCGCAGATATATACGCTGATAACCAGAAGCCCGTCTGCAGATAATTAAAAGTGGCCCTTCACCGACCCCTCCCACACATTCACACATACACACACACACACACACACACACACACACATACACACTCATATGCACAAAGGCACACATGTATGCATGAGCGCACACACACACACACACACACACACACACACACACACACGCATGCACATATGCACACACACGCATGCACAAGTGCAAATACACACTCATATGCACACAGGCACACGTATGCATGAGTGCGCACACACACACACACACATGCACATATGCACACACACGCATGCACAAGTGCAAATACACACTCATATGCACACAGGCACACATGTATGCATGAGCGCACACACACACACACACACACACACACACACACACCCAAATCGCCAGTTCTGGCAGTAAGACACTCTGCTTACCGTATAATTTGAAGTCTGTGATAGGTGAGAGGGCCGCCCCACACTTCAGCAAGGACTCTTCAGTGCTGAGGAGAAGGCTGGTCAGATACCCTCCATACACCTGCATGGAAACACAACAGCATATCAAACAGAACCGTCTAACCACGCGGTCACCCCCACAGACTGCTGCAGCTGACCGTGAGTTTACCATGGTCACAGACCCCATTACACGGTCACAGACCCCAAAGCAGCATATTAAACAGATACGTCTAACCATGCGGTCACCCCCACAGACCACTGCAGCTGACCGTGAGTTTACCATGGCCACAGACCCCTTATGCGGTCACACACCCTGTTAAGAGGAATGTACGTGTCTCCATCAGTTGGGTTCTTTGGGTGCAGTGCTCTGACATTGTAGGCACTACGGGATGTCACTCCGCACGCTTCATTTACAGGGCCGAAGGATCTCTTTGGCAAATCCTTTCAGCTTAAGACTCTCCCGCCTCCAACGCCCCCCTGCTTTGGAAGACTTGGCTTCATAGCATCAGAATGTTCCTTTTGCGAGGGTTTCATCCAATTTAAATAGAAAACAGAATGAAACACTGCTGGATGACAATGACATTACTGATGCTCGTCCCTGAGTGGCTACTCCAGCCCTTTCAATGTGACACGCACAGCGTATAATGGAAAGCGAAAAGCCCTGAAAATGGATTTCTGAATGAAAAAGCAACCTGGTGAAAACTCTGAATATTAAAGATATTTTATGTAATTATAAAACTCTTTAAATTCTTTATTAGCAGCCCCCACCCACCAACCCAACCTGACAGAGGTTGTTTAGTAAGTCTTGGCTTATGATCACACTTTCCTTAAGACCACAGGGGGAGGGCACCTGACTGTCCTTCCTTTTTTCATTATGGTTGTTGTTGTTGTGCTATTTTTTGTGCTGCTAACTGTTCTCTCTACGAAAGCACCGGATGTGATTTGACTCCTGTGGGCCCGGGCCAATTCCGCCTCGGTGCTCTGACCCCCGGAACCGACACCCGGGGTAAGCAATTCGGGCAGACACATTCACCCGGCGTCATTACCAGCCCACGCCAGGGAGCGGCTCTCAGCGCGGGGCCTGAACCTCTCACACGGCTCTCATTCTGTTCCCGAATTGGAGATCAGAAGCCATTTTCTCCCGCTGCTGTTATTACACAGGGCTGTGGAAAGCAGAGGGGGGCGGCACAGAGGACCTTTCAGCTGCTCGGAGGAGGTACAGCAATTTTTGGACTAATAACGAAACTGAAGAGCAGCAGCGATCCTTTTGTGCCGAAAGCAGGAATGCACAACAGCAGTGAGCACCTTGCTGGACTTATCGCCCTCTAGTGGTGACACAGGGTTACTGATGTCCCTTTAGCGGGAGCCATTCAGAGAGTTGCTGAGTGAAAAAAAAAGCATAGAGAGTAAGTGTTGACTTAGTTAGGACACAGTCACTTGCTCAGAGAGACATACACATCCTCTACCTTTTTTCCAAAGCTGTTTTCTTCTAGGGCCATTATTAGGGGCATCATTCTTAACCACACACTGCCCCTGCCCCTGGATTCAATCCCAACATCCCTGTGTCACTTCTCTGTCATACACACAGTAACCCACACTGCTCTCTATATTTAAACACAACCACTCGTGTGAGACACACCTGAGTGTCAGAATGATGTGTGTTTTACCTCTCTCACACAATAATATTGCGCCAGTATGCTCAAATAAAGAACAAACAAAATTTAGCATTCTTTTTCTTAAAATCTGAATCTGAAGAGGTTAAAGAGATGAGAGAAGACCTACTTTGGAAAACAGCCAATGAAATTACTCATCAGACTAAAATTTGAGCCTGAAAACAATTAACGGGGAGGCAGTAGAAGACCACCTGAAAAAGAGTGAGAGGGAAAAAACAGACCAGGCAGAAAACACTGTAATCAGTCCAGTGAAATGGACACCATGTACTGTGGAGTCAAAAGGGCTTTTCCCTGATTAGGGTAAAAAAACAGGGAATGGCTTCTACAAGTAAATGCAGGTTCTTTTTCGGGCTCTTAAACAGCCCAATCACTCAACAGCTCCATCACTCATAAAGCAGTGTCCTTCACTCATTCACTTCCTGATTCACCGCCTTGTGACAGCAGCTCCTGCAGTAACACTGAGTCACCACTAGATGTCCCCTGAAGGGGGCCTATTCAGTGCTCTTTGTTTTATGATACAGAGAGCAATCAGGTCAGCATCGGTAGCTCCCAGCTGCAGTCCGGCGTTAGTGATTCGGGACGAGAACACGCCCTGCCCCCCAACGCCCCCCGTCACCTGCAGGCTCTGATTTATCTGCGTACTTTTAGCACCTGGCTGTGACTTCACCCGCCCCAGACGGATGAGCTCATAGGCGTCTCACTCTCCCACTCACAGAGTGGGGTGATAATGTCACAGAGTGGGGTGATAATGTCACAGGGGACAGAGTCCCTGAGCTCAGTCCGGCAGCAGACAGAAGGGCTCTGGTGCAGATAAGGACCACGCTGCTATAATACCTTTGCTCAGAAAAGGGACTGCAGTGTGCCGCAGTGGTAAGGAGCAGGACTCGTAATCCTAAAGGTCGCTGGTTCGATTCCCTGCTGGGCCACTGCTGTTGTACCCTTGGGCAAGGTGCTTAACCCACAATTGCCTGTGCCTAAATATCCAGCTGTGTGAATGGATAAACCCCCGGAGCACAGCATGCCCCTGCCCACTTCCCTGGACTGAGCATCCCAAATTCAAAATGCACATAGCCACTCTTAAAAAAAGTGTAGTCTGTTTACATATTTATTTGCACTCTTCTGCCTGCTACGTTATTTCAACCCTTCTGTATACTGCATATAGTTGGGCCGAATCGCCTCTTCTCGTCATAATATGTTCATATGTTCTTATATGGATGGGCTGACAATAAAATCTCTCTAACTCTGACTGACTCTGAAAAAACTTGAAACCTACTGTATGTAACTCGCTCTAGATAAGAGTGCCTATGAATGACAATAATGTAGTGTAATGTAATGAAAGACGGCTCGGTTTCTCCACCTCCCAAGGGCAGAAACACGCCGTCACACAACGCTCACGGCTCACCCCTCACACTCCAACCCCCTGCTGGCATCCGAGAGCCGCCAGGCCCCGCATCAGAACCACACACAGCCCAGCACACCAAACGGCTCACCTTCCCAAAGGCTCCGACTCGGGTTTTGTCAATGTAAGCTTCCTTCGATATGATGCTGGAATACACAAAAAAAAAAATAAAAAACATAAAGCGTGACTGATTAGCGCTGGATAGCCTGTGGAGACTGAGTGTCCCTTTTTTTTTTAAAAAATGCTTCAACAAATGCAAACATTCATTATCTGAAAAAACAGCACCAAAGCATTCCATCACAAGTGCTCTTTTCGCTCTCTGTGTTGATGCAATACTGAGCTCGTGATGCACTGCGTGTGGCCACGCTTCCCACTCTAATCACATTCTGATTATTTTCAGCGACATTTCAATGACCTCTTAAGTCTAAATGCACGATTTTCAAGGATGGCTTTTGGGTCTACAGTAATCAAATTCCTATGAAAATAGGCTACTTTACGCATGATTGTGGGAATAAATACAATTTGAAAAACATTACTTTCAACATATTTTATGCGTGCAAGGACACACACTTGTGGATGTTTCTGGCTGTGAATAGTTACGACTAACAACCTTGGCAATGGGCTTTCTGTACAAGCCATTGTGCTAGCCAGTTTGTTGACATATAGGCAGAAAATGATGTCAAGCTAGCAATCAAGTCTGCCAGAGTGATGGATATATTTCACTCACTGTATATGAAACAAGTAAAGGTGAACTTTTTTACTGTACTCTTCTGTGACTTTTCAAAGACAGGTTATATCTGACCACTGTTCATAACTTTCCTCCATGACACAGTAGCACTCTATATTAATGAACCATTAATTAAAACATTCATAAAAATGATTAACGGTCATTGAAATGCCTTTCCTAAAGTGAAAAAAAAAATCACTCACCCACTGCAAATGACTTCAAACCTGGCTCTGTGAAATAACCCAACTAATATTTTACAGCAGTAAGAAATGTTTAATGATCGTTATCAAGTCATTTACAAGGGTGAGCACTGTGTCCTTTAGGGTAGGCACTGCAAATCAATTAACTGACAGTGTTAAATTTTTAATTTTATATTATAAGCATGTCCACATGCATATATACAGTGCCCTCCATATTTATTCATACCTCTCATTAAACAAGAAGAAATACATGACAGCAGAAAAAAAAGAACATCATCATTTGCCTCCTTAAATGCAAATGTTTAAAATGTTACACATTCATATTTAAGCATTGCACAGGGCAAAGTGATTTCATTTCTTAATGTATGAATGTTAGTTAATGGGACTTTTATATAAAAAGACACTGAAAGTAATTTCAAGGATTATCCAAGGCTTTAGGAGCCCTGTGGGGGTTGCGTGCTTCACCTTAGCGCCTCCTGCTGGTCCTTCTCCTCAAACACGCCCAGCTTCCGCTGCACTTTGTGAAGGAGGTTGGTGCCCTGGAACCCGCTGCCCCGCCCGTCAAAGCGGACCGCGATGACGCCAAAACTGCTGACCAGCACCGTGGCCCAGTCCACCTGGAACTTCTCTGTGACCATCTGCCCCCCGGGTGTCCCGTCCCTAAGAGGGAAAAAAAAAAAAACGTCAACGACTCCTGCAAGCCCACCAGGTGTCACATGGTGCCAAGCTCTGACAATCATGCCATGTGTATGGTATTACTTGATGTTTGTTTTGCGTGTTTTATCAAAATGTGTCTTGGATTCTGTGATCTAGTGACTGTGATGTATGGTAGTGTGCGCACTTGGCTTCTTTTAGTTTCTAGGCTGTCTAGTGAGGTTAGCACTAGTTAACTTGTCGTAGGGCTTGAGTGGCATTGTTCTCACACTCACTGGTCTGGGAGTGTTGTTAGCCTGGTCTGACACGGTTGGTCATTGTGCTGGAATTCGCTCTGGATAAGAGCATCTGCTAAATGAATGTAATGTAATGTGTCCAGCATACTGCCAAGCTTACTGTCAAGCTCGGTTCAGTCCCTATGTCACATATTTTTTTTCAGCAGACTGATTAAATATAGTTACACCTTGGGTAACAAGCTAGATATTTTCCATGAGGTCATTTTATTATGAAAAATTTCATTACTAGAGACACTAATACCATGTATATGGTTATATTCCAGGACTTCAAGAGGAATAGTTAGCAAAATAAGGTTAATTACTAAATAAATAACACTGAATGCACCTCAGAATTGAAATACATTTATTTGATATATGTATTTGACACATATAGATGCATTAACACTAACTTTTTACTCAAAGATAGCACAGTCCCTCCACTCCCTTAAGCTCATAATCTCCACTGCCTTGGCTCTAACCATTGATGCCATTAGCCTGCTGCACTGTCTTAGCCTCTCCCACCAAATTTAAAATGACTTTATTTGAAATTTACTGTGACACGAGCCTCCCTCTGCTGTGCATTTTAGTATCTACACACTTGTTAGGTTAAATCACATTCCCTGCATGGAAAGTTGTGATTGCATCAGACGGGCATTGTAGTTACTAAAATGACAAAGGGAGAAGTGAGACAGGGACTGTCTATTTATAAGGCAAACTGTGCAAACCTCTTAACTGCTTGGCTTTTGTATGTTATGAAAAAGTAACATTCCTTTACTCTTAAAAAGCGCTGCTGTTGACCGCTTTTCCTGATTTTGAAACAAATGGATGAAGGAGCTTCATTTTTGCAGGCCTTATTCATCCAGGCACCGTCCACCTGTATGAGTTTCTACTAAATTGACCGTCCCCAGCAAGAAAAGCACACACCGAGCAGCACAAAGACCTGCCTGTTTGCCTTGCCAGTACAATTACAGAGTGCTCGGGGAGATAAGACCAAGGTTAATTACCGGGACCTTGAAAGATTTTCATTTGCAGCAGTGATTGCAACGTTTCAGTTGCGCCCTGGGAGAAACGCAGTGCCGTTTTGCTTTGATTAATACCGTGATTACTGCTGTGTGCCTGCGTGATTAATATACCGGCGAGGTAAACCGTGTCCTCAAAGTGCAAGGGGAGAGGATCCGCGGGGTGGAAAGTGTTTCAGGGCACACTGCTATCTCCCTGAAACAGTGCGGTAGCGTGGGACTGAGATGAGACAATAGTGTCGGTAAAACAGATAAACAAAACACCAGGACATGACTCTCTCTCGGGGTGGAGCGTTGATTATGATGCAAATGAATCATTACCTCATGGAGAGCAAAATATAAACAGGATTTGTGTCCTACTGAAACATCCGAGACAGTGTTTAATGTGTAATGGCTCTGTAATGACGGGTGTAATGGCTGTGCTATGGCTGTATACCCCCACTAGCAGGAACAAAGGGTAACATGCCATATATATGCAAACGTGTGTAATGGCTGCGTAACAGAGGTTGTAATGGCTGTGTAATGGCTATAAACTGCCACTACTAAGAAAAGAGGGTAAAGTGCCCTGCATGTGTGAGTGGGTATAATGTCTCCATTATGATGGTCGTAATGGCTCTGTAATGGCGGCTGTAATGGCTTTGTTGTGGCTGTATACTCACACTAATAGCAGCAGCGGGTAAAGCCCTGTGTCCTGAAAGACAGCCGGTTTGAGGATCTGCATCGTCAGTGCTGCAGACAACGACAATCCACAACAACAATCAGAATCCTTATCTCCCTGACACACATTTCGCAAAGAGTTTCCAGTGTATGGCAATGGACTCAAAACATATTGTTTTGACATAAATGTCAGTGAAATAAACAGTGAAACTAAAAGGGGGTTGAATTCTATGGTGATGTAAGATATTCATAGCAATGTGGTGCTTATCTTCAGTACGTACTGTAATCTTCTATGGTTATTTCCTTGTACTCCACTTTAGGCATCTGCATGGAGTTTAAGGTCTCCTTCAGATCCCTGTTCATCTCCAGTTCCAGCACACCTGCAAAGAGAGGGGTAAGATTAGCTTGCATCCTCCTTCTGCAATGCTCCTCCCAGAGGAATCGGGGGACTCTCAGTCTGGATCATTCAGCCCATTTAAATCAATCAAATCTTTTTTGATAGGGTGCTCCTATCAAAGGAGATGTCCCGGAGTGCCCTGCAGAGTGAATTTCGCAGGAGTAAAGCATGTTACGGCAGATATGGCTTGAAAGGAAGAGCGATGATGCTCTGGAAACAGAGCACAACTCACGCAAAGTGACAGTAATGGAAGCCGTGGCAGGGCTCTGTGTGATGCAAGGCAGAGAGACTTCCTGATGGAACAACGTACAGTTGCACATAATGAGGCACCGCAAAGAGATTTCCTCACGAGAGCCTGAAAAGGCACTAAAAAAAAAACATCTTATACTCGTGAGGACAAAGCATAAAAAACGTAAAGATGTTGCATACCATGTGCACTTAAATAACTGAACACAGGCCCTCAATATAGGTCTCACTCTAACATGTGCATGCTGAATATGAAATTGGCCCTCAGAGCTTTAGGCAGCTCACGCGATTAAAAAAACATTTTCTCCCAGCAGATGGGAATTACAGCAAGCAGCGCAAACATGGCAGATGAAAAAAA